GTTGGTAACTTCTCAGTCTGTCGTGCAGGAAACCAGGGGTTAGATTGTGCAACAGGAAGTTACAAAACATCATTTGACTCAAACCAACACACTGTATTTTGGGAGGCACAGTGGAACAGCGGTTAGAGTTGTTYCCTCTCAGCCAGGTCACTGGTTTACTTTCCAGGCTGGCGTCTGACAGTGTGAGGTTTACACGCTCTCTTCGTGCACYTGTGGGTTTTCTCCCCATYCTCTGGTTTCCTACCACAGACTAAAAGCATGCATGTTCGATTACCTGCTGATTATAAARTGGCCCCTATAGGTGCGGGTGAGAGTGTGAATGAGCCTGATGGACTTGCAACCTCTCCTGGGTGTACCCCCACCCCACCCCGCCTTTGGCACGGTGACTGCTGGACACACCAGCAGAAACAATGGGTGGACGGATGGTAAATGATGTGCACGCATTGCTCCAGATGAAAATGCAGCGACTCTGGATAAGATCAAGGAGAAACTGCAAACTGAGGAAGTTAACTCCAGGTCATATTTCACACAGTTAAGCAGTTTTACTCTGTCATGTGAATGTTTATGCTCAAATGTGACTTAGTCCAGCACTTTATTAGGTTTTTGCAAATACAGTATTTTTTTAAAGTGTCTATGCTTTTAGTAGATTTGGATCTGGGACTGGTTTTCTGCCTCAAACTCACAAKGGAGGTTAAACCACATTGGGCTGGGCTAACTGGCTGAAGACAAACTGGTGTTTATGAGCAAAAATTAAGAGAAGATGACCCAACCTTTTGCAGGAAGCTAAAAAAAATAAAAAAATAAATATAGTACCGACTCTCAGTTCCTATGCAGGTGTGTAGATGTGTTTACTAGATCACTGGATAGCTATTTCTGCTGTCTTTAGTCTCTCTTCGCTACATTATTGTAATCATTTCTATCATGTTTTTTCTTTGTCTCTTCCAGAGGAAGGTGCACCTGGACCAATCCTGGACCAGTTCTTCTGTGTTTGTCTGTGTCTCTTTCCTGTCCCTCAACCAGCCGGTRGAGGCAGATGGTCGCCTGTCCTGAGCCTGGTTCTGCTGGAGGTTTCTTCCTGATTAGCAGGGAGTTTTTCCTCTCCACCGTTTGCTCAGGATGGGAGACTGTGATGAAGTGATTCAACACAGCCTGCTGGTTTCTTCTTTAGATTATAGTGCCCTGAGACAACGTATGTTGTGACTTGGTGCAATAAATAATCTTGAACTTGAACTATTTATAAGCTCAGCTAATATGCAGACATGTTTTTTTAAAAAAAAAAACCTTCAAATCATTAATTTATCATCATCTCACAAGCAGCGACTTGGCCGTCATTACTCCAACACTCGTCTCTGTAGTTGTTTATTCATCATCAAACACTCAAGAAATGATGCTTCTGCCGTTCCRCGAGTGTCAAAAAGGTGACAGCTGTCCACTACAGCAGTGAATAATCAAGTGGCGCTATTTCAACATCGCCTCTCTGATAGATATTTTTAAACTTTATCATTTTTTATTTGATCCTATTGCATTGATCAACTGTATTAAATGTCTTTCTTGCTGCCATAATTTTCATCTCTGCAGCAGCAGAGACTGATAAGAAGCAACCCTGTGATTGGTCAAGATGTTTCTCTCTGTGCTCTGCTTGTAATAAATTGTACAGATTTTCCCAGCCAAGGTCAGAACTTTCTGAGACCTGATTTTAAGCGTCCTCAGAAACTTCTCACTCTTTGCAAAGAGAAAGCTGTCTTAAAACTGCATGCTTACYTCTCTGTCTGGTTTATTTCTTTTTAAGGGGGTAATTTAATGTCCACTCTGACACTCTCGAAATGATGCCTCTCACATTCTTACTAAATTTTGAAAGTCAGCTCTTGCCCAAAAGTGAAAAATGGCCTGGTTCTTCGACAGATGCGAGGTGACGACTCGGCAGTGCTCTTATGTACTTTTTTTTTGTGTGTGTGTGCTTCCTGCAGATTTGGTAAAACAGCAGCAAATAGCAGCAGTTGGCAGAAACAGCTGATAGGTTGAATATCTTTAAATAAGCAACAAAAAAATTAAAAAATAATTAAATAAATAAATGTCTTACTTTAAGTTCAGTAAGTTGTTGCTCTAAACCTCCTTAATTTTAACATCACAACACTATTTCACATAAGTAAATTATCTTTTACCTTTGTCTTACCTTTTTTTTCCCCACCCCAGTGTCTGAGGTCATCGCTCATACTTACTTCCTCTTACCGTCCTGATTTCTTATGATCACCGACACCTGGAGCACCGTGCGCTCAGTCACTTCCACATTCCTGACCCGTTGTTGRTTTCGTTCCGACTGTCGAATTCAACTTGACACAACTTTGTCACACCTGTGTTAGTATCACTTCTTCACGCTTCAGATTCATTACCACAAGTCAGATGTTTGTGGAAATCCAGACCTTCATTTAGGAATTAAAATCATTTGACTGGTTCTTCTTTCACTGTCACATGAAACAAAATGTGTTCAGATAAAAAAAGGTTATTTGAGGACTACTGTATAATGTTTTAGGGAATGGTGCTATTTACAGGTTCCTATTCACCCCACTTAACCTTTAAGCAATCAGCAAAACAGGTATATTGACCACGTAAAGCATCTGGGTCATTTGATGGCGCCACATTTTATGTTTGTTTCTAATATTTTTTTTATAATTAAAAAACATCATTTATTTTTTCTGTATCACAGACAAAAAAAATGTGAGTTTGTTAAAGCTTGTCCTCTCCTAAATTATAAAAAAAAGGTAGCCAACGATTGTTTTAAGGGCCATTGCCCCACTTGACCCCTCCTTGATGGCGCACCTGTCAAATAGTTTGAATACAATTGCAATTATCATTCATTGCATTACATGCTAATGATGTAACACTGACAAACTGTTAGCTCATGTTTTTGCTGTGCTTATACTAGCCTGGTTTAAACCAGACCCTGTCCTTCACTTTGCTTTGTACAAGGAGCAGTGAAGGGAAACTAGAGTTGAGCGGAGCTGTGTGGGAAGGCAAGGGCCAGGRTYTGCTTATACATGCATTTAGCTGATTTATTTTTGAATAAATTGTATCAGATTCCTTTCTTTCTGTCGTTGACAGAGAAAGCACCTAAGATGCAGCTAATAAATCAGAGATCAACAGTGGCAGCCATTAGGCTATTATTATACAAAGTACTAAATGAACCATTAGTGGTGTAAAATTGTTGTGGTTTTGGAACCTGATGTCCCAGTTTTCATCTGTTCTCTCTCTCTCTCTCTCTCGGTGTGTTTTACATTCTGCCGAGCCCGTTTTGGGCGTTTCCTCTTCGTTTCAATAATAACCCGTTTTGGAGGTAAATGACGAGCTTGTTTTGAATGGAAACTGAAAGAAGAAGCAAAACAGGTCAGTCTTTCAGACAAAGCGCAGAGGAGAAGGGGAGCTCTGACGTCACACCGGCGCTCAAAACTGCCACATCGGTAGATGCCTTCATGGAACCAATAAAGCTCGGATTTTATGAAACACTCATCGAACAACAAGCAGTTAACCCGTGTCGCTGTTTTGTTGACCTATTCAAAACCAAAGTTGGGGAAGTAAGAAACGAAGTAATTATATTTTTTCCCCACATCTACTCTCGTGCAACTTCTGAGTGAGTAAAATAGATTTACTCAAAAGAACAGCATTAACCTGAAATTAATATTTCCGATGGTACGTAAACGCCTCAATAGCCACTACAGGTTTCTCCGACGGGAAGAGGATACTGAGTCGAGCTTTGTCTGTAACAACATCATATTGTCAAAACAGCGGGGTATTATTTGTTTATCAACGTTGGTACCGATAATTTCTCAAAAATGCTCCAGTCTCTAGCCAGCAATTCGTGCGCGCGTTTGATCCAAACCCACAAATCGACGTGGTATTTTCTATTTTTAATTGTGGGCTATGTGCTTTATCTCATATTCGGCGCGGTCGTCTTCTCCTCGGTCGAGCTGCCTTACGAAGACCTGCTGCGCCAGGAGCTGAGGGCCCTTAAAAAACAGTTCCTCCAGGACAACGAGTGTCTCTCCGAGGAGCGGCTGGAGGTGTTTTTAAAGACAGCGCTGGAGGCCAGCAATTACGGTGTTTCTATTCTGAACAACGCGTCGGCGAACTGGAACTGGGACTTCACCTCGGCGCTGTTTTTCGCCAGCACGGTGCTGTCCACCACAGGTAAGTCACCGCTCAGGTGATGCCGACCGCGGCTTCAGGCCGGCAGGTGCGCAGCGAGATATAGGGCATTGAGGGGCCCATTCACAAAATAAGGTTGAGGTTAAAAAGCAAAACAAATAATTACTTAATGCGATTTTAGCCATTTATATAAAAACTTTCTATGATTTGTTATTTACAGATATGTATGTTCGACTTAAAAATATAGATCTCCTTAATGTCTTAATAAATGTGTGCTTTGAAATCTGTCAGCACTGTATTTTGTCTTCTTATGCTAATTGTAGCTGTTAGCAAACATGCTACTTTTAGCTACAAAGCTACCGTTTTATTGCTTTTTAGCGTTTAGCTGTTCTACTACTTTTAGCTTCAAACCAGCTTTTTGCTGCTTGTAGCTTTTCGTTAGCATTTTCAGCTTTAACAATTTAGTTTTAGCTTCTTCATCAAATTCAAGCAAAAACCAGGCAGCAATTATTACAACGCATTTTGAACAAATAAAAGTTTTCTACTATGCATTTTTCAGCTAAATTACAATTTTGTTGTATTTCAGTGAAAGCTAAACGCAGTGTCCATGTGGTCATCTTGTTTACAAACCCTCAATTACTGCATGTCTTATAATAAACACCCACTTGAACATTTTTTTTCTTTAAACATTTGTTAGGTTTTGCATTAACAAAATGGTCAGTAAATGTATTTAGTCTAGCATAAATACACATGCAGCTCTGCCTGCAGGTGGCTGTCAGTCAGAAACATGAGGGACTTTAATCTGACCATGGAGTTGCAACATTACAGTTCTTCACATTATGCTAATTATTGTTCAGGAAAAGGCTCTTTACAGAGATCTAAAGCAGGTTAGARGCTTTCTGATTCTATTTGTTTAGACTCATTAGCACTCAAATGCTCCTTGGACTTCATAATCATTTTATATGTTAACAAAAAGCAATATCTAGTTCTCTGTGTTTGCTGTGTAGTTTTATGAGGGTGAAGTTACATAATACATTCCCAGACATCATAATTACATGGTTCCTTATTTACCTGCTTACAAAATGGCAGAAGAGCAGGATTTATTTTTTAAAAACATTTCAGACCACTGGGAGACCACATTTTCTCTTAGTTTGCTTATGTAAGGGATTTTCTTTTTGTTTTTTTATTCCATTTACTTAAAAAAGCATGTAGCCATGATTACAAGTGTTTTCACCCTTTTCGTTATTTCAAATACAATTACATGTTATCCAGATAAACAATAAAAGTACTTCATTATAACACTTGCAGCTGACCTCTGCTACATTCTAATACGCGGTCCCGTTATTCTGCTTCATCTTAAGTTTCTTAATATTTGGGTGTCATTTAAAAGGGATGCAGCAGATTTTTTACAAGATCTCACAGTTGATGAGTGAAAATCTAGTTATCGGGTTTAGAGCAATTAATTCTACAAACATCTGGAGGAGGACAGGAAAATCCCAGCTGCATTAAAAAAACAAAAACAAATATTAATTACTTTCTATTGTGTGAAGTTTACAACTCTTATATCTAACTTCCTGGTTCTGGTTCCTTTCTGAAACCAGAGCCCAGGTGGAGTTTGTTTTAAAAGCATCAATTTCACTTTCAGGAACATGTGAATAATACAAAAAAAATCTAAAACTGAACTTATCTCTAAAATCAAATAAGGAAGTGTTGCTGTTTTCTATCAACTGTTTTTGTAACTGAAGCCTTACCTGTGGATTGTATTTCCCCTTTCCCACAGGCTACGGTCACACGGCACCGCTGTCCGATGGCGGGAAGACCTTCTGCATTGTTTACTCTGTGATCGGCATCCCCTTCACCCTCCTCTTCCTCACCGCTGTGGTTCAGAGGATCATGGTGTTCAGCACGCGGAGGCCGATCGCCTACATCCACACGCGCTGGGGCCTGTCCAAGCCCATGGTGGCCATCGTTCACGCCACCGTGCTGGCCGTGTTAGCCGCCCTGTGCTTCTTCTTCATCCCCGCCGTCATCTTCTCCGTGCTGGAGACCAACTGGAACTTCCTGGAGTCCTTCTACTTCTGCTTCATTTCGCTCAGCACCATCGGCCTCGGAGACTACGTCCCCGGAGAGGCCGCTAATCAGAGGTTCAGGCAGCTCTACAAAGTGGGCATTACCGGTGAGCGTCTTGAAGTATTCCCTTTTCTGGTTGATTGCGGCAACTATATGGTCTCAAATAGAAAAATATAAACATTATTCAGGTTTACCTGTTTTATTTATCATGATATTATTTTAATTGCTTTTATCATTACAAACAAAGGCATTATGTTTTATTATTGAGCCACACTTGAACTTTCTGCAGTGAAGAAAACATATTTTCCTTTCTTTGTTTTTGCAGAACTGCAAATTCTTTCTCACTTTGGAGCATGAACTGATTATTTTAGGTGAAAATGTCCCAGTTTCTCAGAATTAGAGATAGAAGAATGTCACCAGTGTTAGATTTTATGATGGTAAGCTTTGACCTGATCTTTTATGACACAATRAACTGGGTCAGTCTTGTTGATCCTGTTTACAAAACCCTTCATAGTGTCAGAATGATAAAGTCACAATTTTCTTATACTTGGTGATAAAAAATACAGAAATAAATGCGACGAGTATCTGCCAATCTAGTTTTATTTGTTAAAACACACCCATCTTGGTATGTTAGCCTTACAACACTTCGAAAAAAGAAGTTGATTTAGTAGTAAAAAAAAAAAAAGAAACAAATATGTCTGATTAGGTATAAAAAAAGATCATGCACAAAATAAATCAACTTCAAAAAATAATCCTGGGCATTTTGTGAATAAATTCTTAAAATTATGAAAAATTACAGTGAATGACTTCTTTTTCAAATACAAGGAATCATATTTAAATAATGTTTAAACTTAAAGGAAAGCTTGTTTTATATTTCAAGTGGCACGTCTTATTCCCCCCGCTGTGACGAAAAGCCGGACATCTATTTCCTGACAGAGTACAAACAGGCTGAAGATGCGGCGGGCCATAAATTAATATAATTCCTCCCTCTGCCCTCCCACAGCTCAWATAAGTAGAAAAACAATAACGATGGCTGGATATTGTGATTTTTATTTTTCACTCAACAAWCAMTGTTGTGTGGAGTGAAGAGTCAGCGGAGTAAAAAAAAACATCTGCTTTTCTAGCTCTTTTAACAACAGGCTTCAGACAAAAAACAATTTAAAGGGATCCACGATTAGTTGTAACATTAGACTTTATTTGATAAACATATATTTTAACTAAAATAAAGATGTAAAAATACTGTAGGCTGTTTAGTTTTGTACATTTTTTAAAACACATTTTAACACGGACTGAGTCATTTTATTTACACACAAAGCATTCTGGGTAAATGATGACGTGGATAGGTCCTCGGTGTGAGCGAGCTATATCCACCCTGAAGGTTAATCTTGGACAATATCTGACGATCGGCTCTTTTAAATGAAACCAGAGAGCGTTGACAGAGAGGAYAAGGTAGAAATGACTCAGCRTGVAACTGAAAATAWYGATGGAGGACAACAGAGCTGCTTCATGGAAGAAGAACCTCAGCTTAGCCTGTTAGCTTTAGCGCCGATACTATATTGCCTTATATGTATTAGCTCGGCGCTAGCGCGACAAACTAACAAGCTAAACTGAGGTCCTCCATCCATATTTTCAGTTACAGGCTGAGTCATTTCTACCTTCTCCTCTCTGTCAACGCTCTCTGGTTTCATTTAAGAGTTAATCGTCAGATATTGTCCAAAATTAACCTTCAGGGTGGATATAGCTCGCTCACACCGAGGACCTATCCATGTCATCCTTTACCCAGAATTCTTTGCATGTAAATAAAATGGCTCAGTCTGTGTTAAAATATATTTAAAAAAAATTTAGTTAAAAAATTTACAAAACTAAACAGCCTACAGTATTTTTACAGTCTTTATTTTACAGTTAAAATATATATTTATCAAATAAAGTCTAACGTTACAACTAATCATGGATCCCTTTAAAACAAAATAACAAGCAGAAGGAAGATCTGTTCTGAGTCCAGCTCTGGAGCGGTCCAGCTCCTCATGAACAAACACGCCCACAAAGTTCCAACCAATCACACGCTCCGAGTTGCAACGTCCACGTTGCAGAGTTCTGACTGGGGGGCAATGGGCTGTCACCAGGGGATTAGCAGTGGGAGAGCAGATGGAAGTTGCACAGATTTTTTTGTCACTCAGCAYGGGAACAAGACGTGCAACTGGAAGTATAAACCAGCCTTCACTTGGACTTTAGCAAATTCAGTATTCATCAAAAAATAGATTTTATTCCCACTTAAGGATACTGAATGGTAGCAGCCCCTGCTGACACTGGGCGTCTAACAAATTGTTACCAGGGAGCCACATTACAGCACATTTCTACAGCTCAATAAAAAGATTGCTGAGAAAGCAGCTTATTGTGTCTGAACCACAATAAGGTGGGGCAGGCGTGCTGACAAATGGGCCTGTAAAGCAGCGAGGCGTCGACATCATTTCCTGGGTGACTCCCTCAGCCTGCTGTCAGCAGAGCCACTGGGGCTCATTGTGAACAAAAGTCAGCTTGAAAGCTCAGAATCTTGACGAGCCGTGCGCCTGAATGTCGAACGCTTTGAACGCCGCTCTTGTGAAGTGTCTCCAGCTCGTGTGACGTGGGTGTGCGTGGTACGCAGCAGCCAGCAGGATGACGTTAGCCGGAGTGAACAATGTGTCAGTCTGTAGGTGGAGAAAAGGCTCTGAGAAAGTGTGTTTCTTTGCACAAATAACAGTAGGCACACATTCATACAACTTCCTTTAGAAAGAATTACCCGCCTGCTACTTTCTGCACAAACAGAAGAATGAAGAATGCCTCAGATAATGTCCAATTCAGTGCATTTCTTTTAGCTTTTTGTCACTGGGACTTTGGTACTAAGTGCTTGTATTATACATTTATAGAGACCTTCAAATTAAGCTAAAACTCAGTAAAATCTGCAACCTAAAACAAGAATTGTTCAAGAAGTTATTTTAGATGTAAGGTTTTTAGCAGGCATTCATTGTTCTGCTCTAGACAGAATTGACATTACAGTTAAAGGTATTGTCTGAAAAGGTTCTCCTTTGTTCTTGGTTACTGACAGCTCACTACTGCCCCCTTCTGGCAAAGCAGGAAACAACAGATTCTAGGAGAGGATCTGTGTGTCTTTATCCGTTTTCCCCACAGAGAACCTTACAGAGGTCAAAAGGTTTAATTTTTTGGGTCTTTCATCACCAAGCTATCAGCAGCAACTAAACTATTCTTTTTGTAATTTTTTGTTTATATAATACAACCCCAATTTGAAAAAAAAAATGGAATGTTTGCTAAATGAAAATTAACAACAGAATGCATTGATTTGCAAAGCTCACATAGAGGTTTTAAAACATACTAAAAGTTGACATCAGAATAGAGGAACTGATGATAATGATGACTCTCACTGAGCATAATAAAGTAAATGTTTTTTTTTTCTTTTTTTATGTTCATTTTTTTTCTGTATGTTTTTAGGTATCTCATTCAGCAGTTTTTGTCCGATTTTTACAATTAATGTATCAAAARGTTCAGCTCCTTCAGGACTTTTCTGTTATCACTTTTTGCATTTCAGCAATTTATACTTTTTGAGCTATTTAGCTTTTTCTGGCATTTATTTCTCACTGAAAATGAATGGAGCTGTCTTCAACATCCATAAAACCCTTTCTAATGTTTATAAATCTGTACTGTACTAGTTTCAGCTCCCTTCGGCTTATATTTAGCTGATTGCAGCTTTTTTCTGCCTTTTTTAGCTACCATTCAGACATTTTCTGCTATGCTTCTGCTAATTTAATCTTTTCACGCTTTCTGTCCTTTTTTTAGACTTTTTATGTATTTTAGCTGTCTTCTGAGTTTTCGCTGCTTTTTAGCTCATTTGAACTTTTTTAAGCTAAATTGAACTRTTTGTGATACTTTTAGCTTCTTACTGCTTAATTCAGCAAATATGTTGAGATATTTCAGCTACTTTTTAAAAGCTATTATAGGTCAATGTCCACCTTTTTTTTTAGGTATTTAGCAAAAGTCTTTGAGCATGAAGCATTCACATTGCATTTTACTGTAATCCTTTTCCGTGTCTGTATTTTTAGTTTACCTGCTCCTGGGTCTGATTGTCATGCTGGTGGTGCTGGAGACGTTCTGCGAGCTGCAGCACCTGAAGCAGCTGAGGAAGATGTTCTACCTGAAGAAGGAGAAGCCTCAGGACAGCCTGGTGATCCTGGAGCACGACCACCTGTCCACCACCGTGTCCGACAGCAACACGATCAGCGTTCAGGACAAAAACCAGATGTTTGTCAGCGTCCCAACTGTGGTCTCTCCCAGCGATGACCCTATGATCCAGTAAATACCATCAGAGTCACAAAAACAAACTAAAACATGAAGGGAAGGGTTAACTCACGCAAAACTTAGAAGGAATAAATCACAGTTTCAGCTTTTGGCTTTTTAGACCTTAGTMACAGCTAAAATTGATTAAGGATTTTTAGAAAGCTATGTTTCCCTAACTGAACCATAAAAACTGATAATTGTTAAGCAGCAGAGTGGATTTACATAGTAAAGGTCTAATTAAATTAAATTGTAACAGCCGTTATTGATAAAAAAAAAATGTCTTCTGCTGTATTTAAACTCGCAAAGTTAAGCACCTTTAAGAGCTTCATTAGTTATTACAGTTAGGATCATTTAAACTAATTATTCTTTAAACTCTGACTGAAATGCAGGATAGTTTTCTGTTGTAAAATAAATGTTCATATCTTATAAATTTAGTAACTTGACAGGCATTTGGCATGTACTGTATGTATTAAGGCTGATGTTTTAAAAGTGAAAAAAAAATCTAAACAGAAAAATCAAATCTGCAAAATATGACAAAGTATTTACAGATAAAGTATAACGCCATTGTTTATTATTTTTTTGGACGTTTCTCTTATTTATCTGTCAGAGACAGCTGGAGAGCTTCTGAACAGGGAGCAGAGGCAGAATGACAAGCAGCCAAGAGTCCCTGATGTCATTAAACCAGAGCTGCTGGGTCAAAGATTCAACCAATACTGCATTCTCATGATGTTTTATTWAAAAAAAAAAAAGACACTTTGTATGGAAAAGTTTGCACAATTTACTAGAGAGGATGCAGTTAATCAGTTTTTAATTACAATTAACTGGCTAAGATCAAACAATAACAGGGCATTTTTAAATCAGAATTGCGGAAGCTGCTACATGAATATGATTTGTAGGGTTTGTTGTTTTGTGTAGACGTGGGTGATCTTTGTGGTTTTCTGGTTGCACTGCACGCTGTCAGTGGGGGACAACAAGTAAATGTGTCTGACCTCAACATGCAGTACTGTTGAAGCGCCGTCCATGTGTGAAGTGCTCTAACTTATTGATTTATCGGAATCGCTGGACTGTGTGAAAAGGGAGGCGTGGTACACAGGGACCTGCTGAAGGCTTGTTTTTACTGTACGTTAAATTASTGCGTAGAACACGGTTCGTTTACAGAAACATCATCGTTTTGTTTAAAGGAAGGAATGGAAACTTTGCCTGAGAGAGAAGTAGATTTTTTTTTTACTTCCAAAGTCTTTGTCGTAGGTTCTGTTGAGGTTTGACACCTGCTGAAGAACTGTTGGAACTATTTTACTGTATTTACACGATTTAAAAAGTCAACATGTTTATTTTGGAAAGTTTGCTCCAAATATGCGTCGAGCTGTAGCTCAGAAAACTTGAAATGATAAATCCAAACTCCAGCTCTTATTATTTACTTCAACAGCTGGAAATGTGTTAATTAAACCACACATTTAAGTGTTTAGAATAAAAATAAAAGGGATAAATTGAAGAATTTATTGCGTTGCAGACAAATAACCATTCGAGTAGTGTATTATACTTTATAAATGAAAACTTATTTAAATGCTCTTTAGTAATTTTATTATAAAGCCTGGCATTCCTAATGAATTTCATTGCTATGACAGTTGTAGTAGTTTACGTTCTGACCTCATCTTTCTGTACTTTATAACTCAAACAGTCTTTTTACAATGTCTTGAATGTAAAGTTTTTTGCTGTCTGTTTGAAGCAGTTCCTATACAGCATGTGAGCTGCGACCGTACATCCTGACTACTTAAATGAGCTCCGATKGTGGTACCATCTGAAGTGGTCGGCGGTCTTTAACACTCCAGTGTTAACAGGAAGTTTGTCACTCGAAAACCTTCTTATTTCTCACAAATTGCATCAGAGAAGATTGACACACGCCGTTGCTGATGTAATCCTGCAGCGCTGCTTGCTTTCAGGTTTTTAAGCTGCTCTTTTCACGCTTATCGTTCCTGATCAACTTCCTGCTTTGTTTTGTTTTTGGACCAAAACTGAAACAACTTGAGGGTTCTATGGTAACATTTCAGCCATAAACTATAAAAGTTATCCTAACAAGTTGAATTAGTGTTGCTTTAATCTCAGTGTCATTCAGTATCTTGATGTTAAGGGTTTGAAATGTGCCTTTTGAACCTCCAATATACTTAAAATCGTTTTCCCTCTCTTATTTTCTACCATTGTGGGCTTATGTTCTAACTGTGAAACATCGATTCTGTCCATTCTTTTAACTGAGAAAATGAAAAACTTGCCTTTTGTAAACTTTGTCTCTTTTACTGTAAAACATCTGGCTGTTTTGTAGCTGCTGTTTGATTGATTGATTGATTGTCTGTCCAGGTTTGGATCCTGCGCAGTCGTCGCTCGTAGTTTTTCTTGAAGGCTGTCGGGGAAAGTGATTTTATTCAGGGAATAAACTCTGAAGGATTACCAACTGAACGCACGGCTGTTATTTATTTATGCTGAGAAAACTGACATGTTTGTAATATTTGTATTTTATTTTTTTTCTTGTACATATTTGTTTGTTCGTCGTGGCATATGCTGTACATTCCAATATACGGTTAAGTATTTTACTACTGTAATAACAGTGAAGTAAAACAGGACTGTTACTGGGTACCAAGGCTTGACCTGAATTTCATTTCAGCATAAGAAAATACATGAACTGTAAAATGTATGTCTGAAATAAAACGTCATTTTAAATAATTGGATCTTTCTTCTTTTTTCCCCAATCCCCTTGTCTTTTTTTTTCTGAGTTTCTGTTTTCTAAATASATTAATACTGACTCTTATATTAGTATAATCCCAATTCTGACAAATAGAAACATGACACATATCACAGACTGGTGAATTCATTAAGATGATATTTAACAGTTTATTTTATTTAAATGTCAGTTATTATATTGTGTTTTTTTACAAGTTAAATCTGATATATTTTTTGTGTTATACGTTATTGTTAGTTTGTTTCATGACAAAAWTTTTTTTGCCGGTTTTGGCCAGTGCACTTTTGTAAATTATTATTATTAAATAATTTTTAATCTCAATGAGGTTTCCTCTCCTGGTAAAATAAAGGATTAATAGTAATTAACAATTAAAAAAAACATCTAAACAATGTAAATAAACGATAAGAGAACATGTGTCATGGCAACACATGCAGTAATTATATAACATGAAATTACAGTAAATCTTCAACAAAAGATCAAGACTAAATTACAATTTTCAGGCTTTTGCTCTTAATCCACTTGAATAAATTGGAAAGAGAAGCTGAGCAAATGATAATGGAAGCGATTATCTCGAGAGACTTTTGCAACTTGAATAAAAAAAAGATTTTTTACTTGAGTGCACTGCTTTAGGCTTTTCATCTTTTTGAATTTGAACAGGAAGTGGAGGTTCAGCTRGTCTCTGCTCCTATCACCAGAGCAGTAATTGAAGCTGCAGAGCTCAGATAACTCAGCCAGTGATTAACTGGAAGTGATATCTTACTMTCAGCATGAAAACATTAATCAAATCTTTTATGACGCCATTCACAGGAGAGAGGAAATCTTTAGCTGTTAAATAACAAATGTACATGAATGGAATTTACAGGACAAGACAACATCTGGAACAATAAAACAAACTCTGAACTAATTAATAATACACCTCTTAATCTTTATGTTGCTCTTTAACATTTCAAACAAACTTTACAGAGCTCATTGTGTTCTGTAGCTGCAGSGGAGTACAGCGTGTCAAAGTCAAGGAAAGTAAATTTATCGGTGCAAAGCTTTTGTTTTATTCAGAAGCTGCATTTCTTATCGACGAGAAAAGGTAATTAACTCTGACATGCAGGCACCTCTCCCTGCAGAGCCACTGAGCCTAACATCCGTATTGTCAAGTTTAGAGAGGGAGGCAGCTCCAAAGCCTGCTAGCAGCAACTATTTATTGGATGCAGGTTGAGAGAACAATTACCAGTAATTGGAAATAACTGTCAAGTACATCTCCTGGCTTGTTACATTTCCGAGTGCAACATGTTCCGAATCAGCCCAGAGAAGCTGCTTGTTTGTTCATTTCTATTGTATTATTGTTCAGTTACAAATAATACAAAAGGATTTTAAAAAATACGTGTTTGAAGATTTTTAAACTGATTTAAATTAATTTATTCTCCCTCGTTTTTAAAGGAGACGTGCAAAGTCCACTTCTTTTTAGCTATTAAATGCATTTTGTTGTGTTCTTGGAGTTAGGAYTGCAGAAAATTTGAATTCAATCTCCTGATGCGTAGATATCCTAAATTTTGTTTGGGTCAGACAGGAGTTTTCTTTATTTTCTATGATTCCTTTTAGTTTACTGCAATCTCGTTTTATTTGGGCTTTAAAGGAGACATATGCTTTCAAATCCTTGTTCKCATTTAAATCATTCAGTTGGGTTGAAACTGCAATTCTTTGGTCTGAATTCCTCCTTARTGTAACTCCACAAGCCCCTCTTTCACTGAGGTGTGTCTCAGATCAGCTCGTTTTGATGCTGTCTCTTTAAATAAAGCACTTCACACCCAGCCCCCATCCATCTTCCAGAGCGGTTCATTCTAGTTTGATAGAGTGGTTTATGACTATATAGCGGCGCAAAAAAAAAAACGTTTTATTTGCTTCATCTCCATCTTCAGCTGCTTATCCATAGTCGGACCGCGGAGGCAACCGGTCCAGGAGAGAAACCCAGACATCCCTCTCCCCAGTGATACTTTCCAGCTAGTCCTGGGGAGACTCTGAGGTGTTCCCAGGTCAGAGAGGGTATAATCTCTCCAGCAAGTCCTGGGTCTTCCCCGMGGCCTCCTACCAGTGGGATGTGCCTGGAACACCTCTAAAGCAGGAATAGGCAATCCTGGTCCTCGAGTGCCGCTGTCCTGCATGTTTCACATGTTTCTCTGCTCCAACACACCTGATCTGAATGAATGGTGATTAACAGGCTTCTACAGAACTTGGAAGAGGTAATTCAATCTCTGAATCAGGAGTGTTGGAACAGGGAAACAAAATATGCAGGACAGTGGCATTTGAGGACCAGGATTGCCTGCCCCTGCTCTAAAGGAAGCATCCAGGAGGCATCCTAAARAGATGCCTGAACCACCTCAATTGACTTCTTTCAATGCAGAGGAGCCGTGGCTCTTCTCCGAGCTCCCCCAGGATGACGYAGCTACCCTATCTCGAAGGCTGAGCCCAGGAAGCTCATTTCGGCTGCTTGTGTCCTAAATCTCATTCTTTCAATCACGTTCCACACCTCATGACCATAGGTGAGAGTTGGAATATAGACAGACCAGTAAATTCGCCTTTCGACTCAGTTCTTTCTTCACCGCGACCGACTGCAGCAAGGCCCTCATTACTGAGGACGAGGCCCCAATCCGTCAATCCGTCTCTTGCTCCATCCTACCATCACTCATGATCAAGACACCCACTAAACTCCTCTACTTGAGGCAGACACTCTACCCCGACCCGAAGGGGGCATTCCACCCTTTTTTGGTTAAGAAGGATGGTGTCAGATTTAGAGAACCTGACCCTCATCCCACCCGTTTCACACTCGACTGCGAGCCACCCCAMTGCACCCTGAAGGTCTTGACTGGAAGACAACAACAGAACCACATCATCCACATAAAGAAGAGAGGATTCCCTGTGGTTCCCAAACCAGACACCCATTCTCTCCATTACAAAATGGTTGTTGGTAAGTCCAGACCTTATTTGGCAGTTCCGTCAAAAATAACACGACATAATAGTTCATCATAGAAAATAGAGAAAACAGATCGTGTTGAAAAATATGACCCAAATAGAATAAAAAGGTATGTACACAGCATCGAGAGAGKCTATAGACTCCGAGTGCACAACAAAAATGCCTTTAACGGCTCAAAAAMGTGGATTTTGCATGTATGTCTCCATGAAGCACATTCTCTAATCRTTCTGTTTTTATATTTTCTGTATCTGCTTTTAATTAAACAACACCAGCACTGACAAGGTTTTGGAAGTGCAGCCAAGCTGTTGAAGTGTAATGAACTGAAACAGAATAAACCCCTGCAGACTCATCTCTTCATGCCTACAGCTACTAGTCATGAATATTGCCCTGTGATCTCTTCTTGCAAGGTATTCAGGTATCATGGAAAAACTTCTAATTCATTTCAAAACCCTACAACCAGTGCTGAAAACACTATATAACACCTTCTGTAAGGAAGTTTAGTGTTGGTAATTCAACAAAGCTGATAAAAAATCATGTTTGCATACAAGAGAAGATGGATGAGACACAGATACAAAGCCCAAGAGAAACGTGCACTCCTCAAGCACCCGCAGGTGCATTTTGTTTGCTTGATATTTCATCAGTCAGGTTTTACAACAACTTTGTTCTTTCCCATGTCAGTCATCCCCAAACGATAGTGGTCCGGCCACTTCAGGGTCACCAAGGACAGGGAGTGAGTTAGAATGGAATACAGAGACAAGAATCTAGCCTTTAGCATTACTTTCTGACAGCGGAGCAACTCTATTTATAACCGCACACACACTGGGAGTGTATGAATGCAGGAAGCCTCYAGCAGAAACACTCTTCTCCCTCAAATAACCGCTCTCAATCTGAACGACCTTATAGCTGCCGAAGGAGTGTTCGAGTTTTAATTTGATATCATGTAGGAGGCAGGCAGAGTCTGAGCTGTAAAATGTATTTGTAGACGAAGACAAGACGTTGAAGCGGTTCTCGGTTGAATGTGTGGAAAATGAGGTGCAATAGGATGACAAACGGACAGCAAGGGAGAGGAGAGACYATAGGCAGTGACAAATGATTAGCTGCTGCAGCCACAAGCATTTACTACCTGGTTACCATTCTGCAGTAAAAAGCTCTTTCACTGCACAGCGTGAGGGTTTGAAAACACAAAATCAGCTCCTATTGTGTGTTATGCAAAGAAGGCCCATTAGCATTTAGTCTACTGAATGATAAACATGAAAAATTAGCAGAAAAACAAGGTTTTTACTGTAAATTCGATTTAGGCTTCAGAACTAAAACCAATAAAGGGATGCCTTTTAAGTAAGAATGAAATGAAATATGAAAATGCACACATCCTTCCATGTTTTCCTCCTTGAATTACATTAGAGGTCTACCATTCAATGAAGGAATGCTTTTCGCCAACCTTTCTGGTCAAATTTATGAACTCATAGTTTTAGCCTTTTTGATTAAACCTTTAAAAATATATTGTACAAAATCTCATGCATTCTTGTAAGTTGTGTTAGGAAAAACTCTCAGCTACTAACATCCCAATTTATCTAAATATCCAGAAGATTTAGTTATGATAATTTTGCTGTTGGCTAATTAGCTGTGGTGACCAGTTTCAATTGAATCAAGTGAAAAAGTGAAGTTGTTCACACAAACAAACAAAAACATTATTATTTGGGGTGCACCGATAAATCGGCTGYTCAATCGATCAGCCCCGATTTCAAATTTTGGAGGATTGGCAATCAGCCGAGATTCGCACGAGACGCCTGTCATGGTCGTGGTTTGGTGGAACCCAAAATGTAGGCAGACACGAAGGCTTGAAAGAAAGTGACAGAAGTGGCTGCAATTAAGTTACAAAAATAAATACAATGAAAAACATGAATACGGTTATGACTGYCAGTTTCAGATATCATGACAGTACCCCCCTTCCAAGGGACGACCACTGACGTCTCTGACAAAATGCAAAAAAATAAATAAATAATAATAAAATAAACAAAAACA